CAAAGGCTATAGGTTATACAATTCTCAAAATGGAGTTGTGTATATTGCTAGAGAATGCATTTTTCTTGAACAAGAAAAAGGCAGTATGATGATCAAGGGTGCTACGACCAAGGACGAAAAACATTTCTTTGAGTTTCAGGAAGATTTCACAGATGAGAGAGTCATTAATGAAGTAGATCCCAATCCGCAACCGGTTCCAGAGGTCATGGAACGAGAAAATGAGATAACACATGAGGAGGAGGCAAGTTCTACATTTTCGACTGTTTTTGATGAAGATGGAAGCAGTATTGGAGAGGAATATGTGTCTGAGAGAGTGGAGAACATTCCAGATAATATATCTAGGAGAAGTGAGAGACAAAGAAGACACCCAAAGGCGCTGAATGATTATGAAGTGAGTTATGCTGCTATAGCCTATTTTTCCGATCCTCAAACAATAGAAGAATCATTAAGTAGACTAGATAGTAATCAATGGCGTGCAGCTATGAAGGAAGAATATTCTGCACTGATGAATAACAGTACTTGGGAGCTCGTGGACTATTCTGCTGAAAAGAAGCCAATAAAATGTAAATGGGTTTTTAAGGTTAAGAAAAATGCAACTGGAGACATTTTAAAGCACAAGGCGAGGCTAGGTATTAAGGGCTGTAGTCAAAGAAAGGGCATTGACTACACTGAAACCTACTCACCAGTTGTCAGATATACATCTTTTAGATATTTGCTTGCAATAGCTGCAGAATAAATTGGATGCTGTAACAGCTTTTCTGCAGGGTGATCTAACCGAGGTGATATATATGATACAACCAGATGGTTTTGCAGAAGCAAACAAAATGTGCAAGCTTCAACAACCGGATATGTTTTTGTGAAAAATGGTACAGCTATTTCATGGGCAACTAAAAGACAAAATACAGTAGCACTTTCAACGACTGAAAGTAAATATATGGCCATGAGCATGGCAGCTCAAGAAGCATTATGGTTAAGGAAACTCAGTGACGAGTTAAGTAATTGTAATGGACCCACATTATTATACGTGGATAACCAAGGGGCGCAAAATTTGGCTGCAAATGGTGCATATCACGCGCGCACGAAGCATATAGATGTTAGGCATCATTTTTTGAAGGAGTAGATTGAGCAGGGATTACTTGAGCTAAAATATGTATCTACAGATAAGCAAGTAGCAGACTCATTAACTAAAGCGATTGACAAAACAAAGACTCAGTGGTGTGCAAATGAACAAGGTTTAAAACATTTTAAATAGAGGGGCTGTTGAAATGTATTTTAATGTATTAACTACAACCCTGTATATGCACAATATGTACCTGTGAGAAAACAATATAAATAGTGATTGTTAGTATTTGAACGTCATGTATGTATATGTCATTAAATAAATGTATTCTGAAATCCTTTTTCATAATATACTTTTACTGTGCTATTATCCGGTCCTGCGTTTCCTGCTAACAGCTCTGTCAAAATGCTGCGCTTGAATTAATTTTGACGAACTGTCATTTGTTTGGAGTTCCGACATTGGCGACTCGTCTATCATCATAATATTATACTAATAAACTAGTTCTTTATTTCGTTCAATTAAAATTTAATAAATAATCACTAAATATTTCTGGCGATTTTAATTAATATAAATAATACATAGTGATTGCTGTGTATGAAATGCTAAATTAATTGTATTATTTGACGTCTATTGAGTCACCTATGGATTTACTTCTATCCCTTGGCTTTTTTGAGTTTTTTGTCTGTCGCTAATGAAAATGACGCACTTCAACTATCTCCATACATGCATATAAGGTTGTATATCATGGCCGCTTGAAAAAAAAACCGAATTTTTTAAGTTTTTAAAATCGTTAGCGTCAAAATACTTATCCGATATCAAAAGTATGTAAAAGAAAGTTTTAGAGGGCTCAAATACCTTCAATTTAATGGCTTGTTTGACTAAATCGATCAATTAGATTTCAAGCTATACTCAAAAACGTCAAAACACCTCCAAAAATTGAAAAAAAAAACAATTGAAAATTCATATTTCAAAAAGGCTTCCATGAAAAGAAATTGAGTGTGATTTTCGTGTTTAGTGGGTCAAAATACATGGGACAATTATAATGGGATATGGTGGGCAGAATTTTTTTTTATTTTAACAAATCCAGGAGTCAAAAAATAATTTAATAGGCAAGGAATAGTATATTGTGCGACGAGTGGGAAAAAAGTGGAGATTTCTCGAGCGTAGCGAGTGTGATAACAAGCGATTGGAATCTTCTCTCTTGACCATTAGTCGCACACAATATTTTATTCAAGTGATTTTTTTTGTGCTTCGTACAGTTGCCTGCCTTAGCTACGCTTCGGCTGTCAATCTCTGTACTCACCACAATAAAATCACTTCAAGTCCTTGTGACATAATCTACTATTTTATGTCAAAAATTGAGGTCGAAAATTTACATATCGTCCTGGGGAAGGTTTAAATCAAACAGATTTTTTTTTCGTGAAGCTGACATTTTTACAAAAAAACAAGCTAATGTTGATAAAAATACATTAAAAAATAGCGAAGTTATGAATTTTTTAATGGAAGACCAAAATTCAGCTTTTTGACGATTTTTATTTTATTTTATTTTGTAATTTGTTTGTTCTTTAATGAAAACCTAAATAAAGTGCATGATTGGAATTTTTTGAGTTTTTTACGAACTTTTTTCACCGAAAACATTATTCAAAATTTAAATTTGACATGACTTCGCAAACGTGAATTCTTTTGTTTCTCGTGTTGGCATAGTGACATTTTACTGATATTTTTTGATATATCAACAAGGTAGTTTTATCATTGTTTTATTTAGTTAATAAAAAGTGTAAAATGAGTAAAAGAAGTAGGGAGTTCGAGTGCGTAAATAACCCGCACAATCTGGGCAACGTAAGTGATGAGCACGGAGAACGTTTTTACCAGCAAATGAATGCAGCCGTGATGGGTGATTACATCTGGTCCTTCATACGAGAAACTGAATAGGAAAGCAACAAAAAACAAAGGAGCCAGAATTTTTTTAAACCTATGCTTATTACAACAAAATAAAACTTTCAATTTCTTCAATGTTCAATATTTATTGTTTAATATTCAATATATAATTTTATATTAATATTTAAAATAAAAATCAATGTTCAATTTTAAATTTTATATAATTCAATAAAATGAAGAAAAAACGTAAAAATTCTCGAAAAACTGAATTTTAGTCTTTCAGTGAAAAATTCATAACTTCGTCATTTATCCATGGATTTTTATAAACAGCAGCTTATTTTTTCCTTTAAGTATAATCTATACTTAAAATAAATCAAACTGGAATTATCTTTTCGATTTCTATCTTTCCCAGAAAGATATATAAATTTTCGACCTCGTAAAAAAAAACGACCTTGTAAAAAAAAGGACTTATTCAACTTCATAAAATCGCCAGTATTGAACTACTGAGCCGATACCAAAACTAGACGAGAGAAAGTAGAGGGCTCAATTACCTTTGATTTAAGTGCTTGTTTGGTCAAATCGATCAATTAGAACTCGAAGTATACGTCAAAACACAGAAATTAAAAAAAAATGAAAATTCATATCTCGAAAGTGCTTCTATGAAAAAAATTTAAGTGTGATTTTCGCGTTTAGTGAGCCAAAGAAAATCATAGTTATAACTATATGTCTATAGACATGGTGGGCAAAATGGCTGTAAACTAGTGTTATCATTAGGGATGGGATTTTAGTTATTTTACCTTTTTTCAACCGATGTAACTATTTGAAAACCAATAATGCCAAAATGTGTTTTAAAAGATTTTCTTTTATATGAATCTAACTTGTTTTCACCTTTTTTACCTTTTTTAAAGGTTTTTGCTTTAAACTTACCTTTTTATACTTTTGTTACATATTTTTTAATTTGTCAGTTTATTTTCACCTATTTGTTACCTATTTTTACTTATTTTATTTTTTTGTGTTCTTTTTAAATTTTGCGCCAATATTTTATCCAGGGCGTGCAACTCAACGGTATAGAATTTTTTCTTATGGTCACAGACTGTAGCAGTAACTTTCTTTGCAGTTACCTTCTTTGTAGTGAGCTTATGTTCTGTCATAGAACTTTTGTTAAGTGAGTGTCACTCAGTGAAACAAAGTTTATTGCATAGAAATAGTTTATTGTGGGTATGTTCTGTGTTTGGGTATGCGGCTAAACAAAATTATAAAAAATGCCCAAAACCAAAGAAAATCCTCTAAATAAACTCAGCAGTTGGATAGAGGGGAAGAATAAAATATTTTCTATTGACGGAAAAAACGTATTTTGTAGAGTTTGCTGTAAAATTGTAAGGACTTTGTGGTTATGTTAAAACATCTTTATTTAATTTATATACATTTTAGCTATCTGTTTGTTACTCTAGTAGTAAATTTGGTAAATATCAGGTATTCCCTGTTATATTTTCAGTTCCTTATAGCTTTAATTAGCAGTCAGTTTATAAAAAAAAAATATTTTATGTTACTTAATTTATAAAAATAAATGAAACTTGAATTTTTAATGTTTTTTTCCTAAAATGCTGTTTTTTTTAACCTAAAATGCTTTTTTTTAGTACCTTTTTAGTTACCTATTTTTCAGTTTTTAGTACCTAAATATCCCATCTTTACAAGAATCCGCCTAAACTATGAGTTCAACACATAAAGACTCTAGGACATAAATAACTATTATATATTTATAAATAAAGTTTTGTAATTTTGTAAATAATATTAAATTAAAAAAAATATATAAAAAGTATAATAGTTAAAATTAAAAAAAACTGTTTTGCATATTGAAGCTTTAAAACAATTTTATTAAAAAAATTAATTTTATTAAAAAAAATAATTTTATTAAAAGAACAAAAAGTTAGTATGCTAACCTATATATAGGTCCTATAGGGACACATTTTTTAATTTTTATTTTCTAAAATTTTAATTTAATTTTTATTTTCTAAAGTTTTACACGTTTTATAATGTATTTATAATAAATTTTCTATTTCAGGTCTGCGTTTTTTGCGTGCCCTACGTTTAATGACTGTCCCGGATATATTGCAGTATCTCAACATATTGAAAACATCCAGTTCCATTCGACTGGCACAGCTTGTATCCATTTTTATATCTGTATGGCTCACCGCTGCTGGAATTATTCATTTAGTGAGTATTCTTCCTTTTCTTTTAGCTTCTCTTAATGTGTTAAACGTGCAGAAATAAAATCTTTACGTGTCTTTTGCTCAGCCAATTAAATTAATACTGAAGTAAAACTTTTGCATGAATTATATACCATATAGCAAATACTTGGTCCACTTTTATACCATACGAATTAGTCAATTTTTGTATTTTCATACGTTTTTTTTTTTATAACGGCCTGGCGTTTTTCTTTTAAAATTAAATTAAAGGGTCTGAATCCATGTCGTTTCTAAATTAAATTAAAAATATTGGTGCTTATAACAATACAATTCATTAATATTAGAACTAATAAAATGCCAGTATTCTATAGTTACACATTTTATCACAGCGACAATATTTTTTTTTTTCAAGCGGCCATGATATACAACCTTATATGCATGTATAGAGATAGTTGAAGTGCGTCTTTTTCATTAGCGGCAGACAAAAAACTCAAAAAAGCCTAGGGATAGAAGTAAATCCATAGGTGACTCAATAGACGTCAAATTATAAAACTAATTTAGCATTTCATAACTAATTACAAAAAATCGAAAAACAATTGAATAAAAAATATAGATATATCTAAATAACCGATTTTAACATAAAAAATAAAGTCTTTATTCTAATTTATTTATTGGGTAAATATTACTTCAGTTACCTCAGTTTGGAATTAAAATTGAAGCTTGCTTATCTAGTAAAAAATAAATTGAAGCTTGGTTGTGGAGCAAAAAATAAAATTAAAGTAGGTAATAATTTCTAACTTTTCTAATAAATTAATGTTTTGAGTTTATAGTACACTTATAAATTGAAACGCAATCAGTCATTTGCAACTTATAAACTGACCTGTCAAATTATCTTTCATGCTTTCAATGGTAGGATACCATAGAGATAAGTCTATGATAGCTACTATGATCAAAATTAGTAAACTTGAAAAAATTTAAAATTTATAAATAAAACTAATTTTAGCTCCATCTATGGCAATTTTTTTAAATAAATATGTAGGAGTTGTATGTTATATAATATATTATGTTATATTATGTATGTTATATATTATATGTAATATATAATGTTTAATATGTAATAAATAATATATTATCTTATAAAACTAGATAAAAAAAATATACTAATTGTAAAACACGTTAGTATTATGCTCTTTGAAGGCCTAACTTAAAAATAGTGTCTTTCGTAAAAACATTCTTTGCATGTAGAAGTTTATATATCAAATAATAGTTAATTATCAGTACTTTAAAGTGATATACTTAAAATTATAAAACAACTTTGCTTCTTCGACTTTTTAACCATTAAAAATGGTAAAATTTTAAATTAAATTGTCCCCAGCGCCCCCTGTATATTAAAATCTAAAAAAAATAATACGTGGATTTATTTCCACTATTAAGGTTTACATTTTATCTTAATTTCAAATCGATACGTTTTTAAATAAAAATGTTATTACAAAATAACGAAATTTATCTATTTTTTAACAGTCTGAAAACCACAGCGATCAATGGATGAAATTTTTTTTTTTTTTAAAAAATTTACCATTTAGATGTAGAAACAAGGTTAAAAAAAATATATGAATTCTGGCATGACTTCCAAACAAATGTCCAAAATTTGTTCGATTTTTACGCGAAACCATAGTTAATAAACCATAAGGTTCTCTAGGTATTTCACCCATTCTCTAGTAATAAGTAATATTTAATCATTTAAATAATAAGCTTTAAGGCAATAACAGTAAACTCTTTGTATGTTTCGAAATAAAAATGGGAACAATACTGCCAGCCACTCATTTCAAAATCATAAATAGCGGCCCAGTCAGCAGGTTATTCGCTCGATTTTGCCAGATCTAGGCAAATGAATTTTACTACTATAAGCTTTGTCGCGTATTTTCTTGAATAAGTAAACTTGAAAAAATTTAAAATTTATAAATAAAACTAATTTTAGCTCCATCTATGGCAATTTTTTTAAATAAATATGTAGGAGTTGTATGTTATATAATATATTATGTTATATTATGTATGTTATATATTATGTAATATATAATGTTTAATATGTAATAAATAATATATTATCTTATAAAACTAGATAAAAAAAATATATTAATTGTAAAACACGTTAGTATTATGCTCTTTGAAGGCCTAACTTAAAAATAGTGTCTTTCGTAAAAACATTCTTTGCATGTAGAAGTTTATATATCAAATAATAGTTAATTATCAGTACTTTAACGTGATATACTTAAAATTATAAAACAACTTTACTTCTTCGACTTTTTAACCATTAAAAATGGTAAAATTTTAAATTAAATTGTCCCCAGCGCCCCCTGTATATTAAAATCTAAAAAAAATAATACGTGGATTTATTTCCACTATTAAGGTTTACATTTTATCTTAATTTCAAATCGATACGTTTTTAAATAAAAATGTTATTACAAAATAACGAAATTTATCTATTTTTAACAGTCTGAAAACCACAGCGATCAATGGATGAAATTTTTTTTTTTTGAAAAAAATTTACCATTTAGATGTAGAAACAAGGTTAAAAAAATATATATGAATTCTGGCATGACTTCCAAACAAATGTCCAAAATTTGTTCGATTTTTACGCGAAACCATAGTTAATAAACCATAAGGTTCTCTAGGTATTTCACCCATTCTCTAGTAATAAGTAATATTTAATCATTTAAATAATAAGCTTTAACGCAATAACAGTAAACTCTTTGTATGTTTCGAAATAAAAATGGGAACAATACTGCCAGCCACTCATTTCAAAATCATAAATAGCGGCCCAGTCAGCAGGTTATTCGCTCGATTTTGCCAGATCTAGGCAAATGAATTTTACTACTATAAGCTTTGTCGCGTATTTTCTTGAATAAGATAATTAATATAAATATGATTGTCTATTTCGGTGCTACTAAAAGTTCTTAGACGCATCGTTTTCATTGCTACTAAGCATCTTAGAAGCATCGAAATTATTAAGTTAACGATGTGTTAAAAACTCATTTTGTTTATTAAAATTATTTTATAAAATGTGAATAAAATAATAATAAGTAAATGGGTAAACTATGTCCAGCTCTTAAAATCGTCGAAATAGACAAACCAAAATTTGACCTTTTATTTTGACTGATATTAAATACCTATTTTAATTTTGATATTTCGCTTCACGTAAATTGCCCCAACCTAGTAATATAAATTAAGCTACTTGTTTTTTTAATGATTTATTTAATTTTTTTGATAAATTACGGTCGAAATATTACATTACAAAATTGACAATTACCCTTATTGTGCCGCACGACCGCGAAGCGGAGTGCGGCAACAGTACGAGTATCACAATAAGTCATTGTAACACTACTAATTGTAACACTCGTTTTACAATATACTATTTAATTAAACGTGAAGCATTTTCATATGTTTATGAGAATAACTAAAATTACAAATATTATGTGTAAACATTGTCTAACCGCAGGCTTCGCCACTAATAATAGTTTGATTTATTTTTTATTAAATATAATTATAATATTAAAAATAATAATAATTATAATTATTCTTATCTATTTAGTTGGAAAATTCCGGGGACCCTTTGGACTTTGACAACCCGCACCCATTACCGTACTGGACGTGTGTCTACTTTTTGATCGTGACCATGTCCACCGTGGGTTACGGAGACGTCTATTGTCACACGGTTCTCGGCAGAACTTTTTTAGTGTTTTTCCTGCTAGTCGGCTTGGTAAGTCTTATTTCTCTATTCTAATCTCTCTATCTTACTAGAACACTTCCCATTCTGCTGAATCTCTGTACAAAAAAATTAAAAAATAAAAATAATAAAATTTATCGAAAAATCGATCAAGATTATAGCTATGTTGCGATGTCTGTGGCTTACGGCTTTGTTCGATTATTTATTGTACGAGCTGCTCAATATTATAAAAGGTTCAAGATTTTATTAAAAATATATGTTACTATTGGCCATATGTCATTATTAAAGTTTTCACTAATTACCTTATACTTTTAATAGGATCGTATTATTCAACATACATGTTGAATACTACGATCCTATTAAAAGGATAAAAAGAATCATACATGTATGATTCTTCATATACAATATATATAACATATATTTCTGGAAAGTTAAATATCTACAATATAAAAACATAGAAGATAATACTAAAAGTTTTGCATTAAATTAAATCAAAGTTAAAATTTGTTAGTTGGTATACATGCTTATTCAATTTCAGAATTTAATAGACAAAGTTTAAATGCATAAATTCTATGGAAATTAAAATTTTTAAAAGTTAACATAGGGTTGTAGCCATAAAAAGTCTTAAAACAATTTTTATTAATATTTCATTTAAAAAAACTTATAAAAATAAATACGGCCTTATTGCAAATTAAAATTTTACTTTTACTTTTGTAACTAAACATCCAAGATTAAAATTTAGTTATAGATTTAATAAATTAAGCATTGTAGTCAGCGGTTTTTTCTTGAAATATTATTTAATGTAGTCCAAATAAAATGTCATAGTATTGCTGAAAATCAGTTTTGTCAACATTATTGGACAAAAATTATGAATTAAGTTTTAAAATAATTTATTTTACTCACAGTTGTTCAAAATTAAATAAATGGTAGCACAAATTCGCGTAGTAGCATAAATATTACAATTAAAAAATTGAGGAAAAAATCGCACAGTAGTGTTAATATTAAAAATGGTAGGACAAATTTTAAAAATTTCCAATTTTTTTTAAATTCTTAAACAATGGCACTTATAAGTTTTTTTTATCAGTTTCATTTCTTGCAATAAGTCGTGCGTCCACTTACCGACACATTCGTTCTTTTAATATTCTAGATTTAACTGGCTGCAGCCCTGTGACTACATGTTGAATGTAAAATCGAAAACCTTGTTAAGAAAAAAAATATATTAAATATTGATGTTTTAGCTAATATTCTTTTCAGACTTAACTAGCTGTATAATATTTTAACATCCTTACATACAAATACCAACCCAAAATTTCCTACCATAAATAATGTACCCAAACTATCCTCTTACCTTTTTTGGGGATATCTAGGTATTTTTCTATGTTGTGGTTGTTTTTATCTATTTATGTAAACTTCTTGTAAAATTGTTATGTGGTTCGTTTTTGTCTTCTTTCGGCAAATTTAAACTAAAAGTAAAATGTTTTCATCGTATTGAAATCCAATGTAAATATTATTTCAAATTTTACTTTTGGTTTAAATATATTACACACACAAATGCATGAAACTGTAGATCACTGTTTGTCAGCTTTTTGTGCTTTTTCCTAAATCATTATACTTTTGCTTTGACGCAAATAATAGCAAAATATTGCAAAATGCTTGCAATTCAAACCCCTTTTTATAATGCAGGTAAAAAAATAAATCTACAAAAATTCATTAAAAAAACTTTAATATCAAATTTATACCAATTTTTTTAAATACTGGGTTTTCATTTATTTTTTTAAATAATATTTTATTAAAATTAAAAAAACATAAACAAATTTTTGTGTTTTAATTTTTTGCTAGACCTGCTTTAAATATTTTTGTGGATATTTTTGACTGCCTAAAATAAAACAACAATATTGACTTTAAATATTGACCCGGGTTTTAAAAAGGCATTGAGAATGTTTATTTCCAGGCAATATTTGCTAGTAGCATTCCCGAAATCATAGATCTAGTTGGCACTAGGTCCAAGTACTGTGGCGAGTACAAGAGAGAACACGGAAAAAGGTACTGTTTTAAAGATAATGTTCATCATAAAATAAAATAAAAATATACAGGGTTCGGCAATTAAATTGAACGATTTTATTAGAACACTATAGTTGGTAGAACAAATTTGTGACATAAACTAGACACAAATCAATTTTTATATAATTGACTTGTAAAACGGATTAAAAAAATTGTAACTTTAATATAGGTACTTCATATTTTTAAATGGTAAACCAATTGTAGTATTTCTACGTTTAAAATTAGGAGCTCACTTCTCGTGTTTGGCACAGGTAAGGCATATGCTCGGCATGGTCAAGATTCTCTGTGGCGACAGGCTTGCCGCTATTTAGTTTCTGGCTGATTTTCTAGTGATGTTCTGGACTTCCACGATACTAAAAATGTAAACCGCTTGCCGAAAAGCAACTTGCATAGTGTGAATTAAATCCCGCGAAATATATAAAATTCAATGATGAAGATATCCTGCCAAGTCGGTGCATGTGACAAGCACGAGATGTGAGAATCGGCCTTAAGAATGACACACATGCATTTTAGATGTTGCAACATGCTGTTTATTTTTGTGTTAAATAGAAGGGTGATTCAATTTGTTATTCCACAAAAACACGGAGGGTTTAAAAAATGTAATAAATAATTATTTGCTCTTTGACTTTACTTACTCATGTGCGGCTTCTTTGGCATGACGTAATCCGTTTGTCAAAATTTTTTACTATTCTGTGGCACAAAGTAGGTTCTATACCGGCTATTTCACTTTTGGTCTTCCCTTTTAGCTCAGCAATAGTGTTTGAGTTATTCTTGTAGACTCTGCTCTTTAGATACCCTAAAAGAAAAGAAAATCACATTATCGCTAAAGTTGACTTTAATTTTTCACGTATTCATTCGGAAAATGGAGTTTGTATTTGCTATAACTGCAAGTCGTTTTTAACAATTTGCTGTACAATGTGCTTGGATTTTGGGCCACAATAGCAATATTTTCTTTTAAACGACCTCTACGAGCATGCTACCTACGGTCCAGTTTGCTGGAATTTTTAGATCACATATATGTATAGGTATACCTCTCGCGTTGTTTCGTTGTGTTCATGACTAATTTTGTTGTTTCTAGATTATAAATTTTACCTGTTGATAAATACAGTGGAGTTTTAAAAGTATATTATGTATCAAGTTTGATAAACGCCATTTTAGACACAAATTTAATTTAGGCACGAGCGAGCTTGCGAGCGAGTGCCTAAATTAATGAGTGTCTAGAAAAGTTTATAAACTAGTTGCATACTATCCTTTTTCTACGACAAATACTTATTATTATCTTAAAATGATTTAAATCAAATATTTGTATAGAGCGCCATCTATAAAACAATAGGGAAATCTGTGTTAGGTACCGTCAAATGTCAAATTTTTCTGTGTTATAAAGGTTATAAATTGAAATATTTTCGTTGAAAATCGATTAACAAGAGTTCTCAGTGAAAGTAAAGAAAATGTTTTATGAACTCTTCACGGTGGAGTCCGAGCTCGAATTTAAGTTATACCTATCCAGTTTACTTTCGGCGAAATTGAAAGGTCAATACAATGTACAAATATTGGCGTTAAGAAACTATTTAATGCTTTTGTATTTTTGTATTGCGATAATAAAATAATTTTTATATTTAGTATTATTTTACAAGAAGGGCACTTTATTTTAACGATTGTATGACATTTAACAACTGTCAACTAACTTCAGCCCGTGACTAAAACGCCATAAAGCCACAACTTTTCAATGTGTATTTAAAAGGTCACTTAGTGTCATGGAAACATCTACGATAATGGACGTTTTAAAGGTGGGAGTAGAAAAAAATATTTAAGAGTGGAAAGTGGAAATCTCAATTTGAATCACCCTTTATTTTTAATACCTATTAATATTTAATTTTTGTTGTTATTTATATATATTTTTTTAAATCTGAAGCCTTCACTTGTGTTGATTTTTTATAGGGTTTCTTAAAGCTTTTAAACATATTTGCATGAAATATGAAAAAAATAGTCGGATTCTTTAAGACAGAAACAATCAATTTAGGTGATCTAGCATAAATTGTTACCAAGTTTTTAAATACAGAGTAAATATTTTACCTAATCAAACAAATTTTAACATAGAACTAAATTACATAGCCTCTATTTAAAACCGTTTTAATATTTTACCGGACACTGTATTTTTTTGCAAATATAGCTTTAATATTTATAAACAGGGTGTATTAAAAATCACAAATTTAATCCCATTTATTATAAGTCAAGTTGACACGTTTTTCTTTGAAATATAAAATAATTAATTTGTTAAAGACATGTTCCATTAAAAAAATCTTTATGGCAAAATTAAATAAAAAAATGTGAATTATATAAGATACCATAAAATTGTCCACATTATTAAAGGAATTATTCCACAGCAGTCTTCAAACACACTATATTTAAATATTTAAGTAAAAAAAATAATATATAATAATTAAAAATAATTTGTCGTACTGATAATATTATACAATAGTATTACGGACAATATCTACATTTAGATCAAACTGTCATGTTACTATAATAAATCAAATATTTACGTAAAGCTACACTTGTACAGCCGACTAAGACTTTGATGCATGATTTTACCATTTTTATGAAAACTTTAACCAATTTTAATCTTTTTAGACACAGCCAGCCCCGCACACAATTTTTTACATTTGTGTTTTATGCAGGATGACCATAATTTATAAACAATTATAATTCGCTTGTGCGTATGCAAAAGGGACAACTCAATAATAATTTAGAGAAATTAGTGAAAAAAAATCTCACCGTACATTTTTTTAAATAAAAAAGATTTCTTTTCAAAAAAATTCTCGTAGTATCATCACATAAGGCAGAATTTTAAATCGCTGATTTCTCAAAACAATGATTATTGAGTTGTCTCCTTTTGCACGCGCACTAGCGAAAAGACAAAAATGTTGATAAATGCTAATTAAAACTTGCCACACGTAAATAAAGGAGTTAAA